GCCAATGTGTTAGAATATTTGATTATCGCTCTCTAAAATGTAATTGTTACTTTTACACAGGATTTTCTGTCACTAACAATATATGAAAACATCTGAACAGTCCATAAAACTCTGCAAATAATTTGAAAAAAAGTTATGGGCACGACTTCAATGAGGACCTCTTTTTCTAAAAAAGTATAGAATGAAATATAAAATATAAATATAAAATCAAGTAATCTCACTTAATGCTGATTATAACTTCACTTTTTATTAGCTAAGAACTAGTTACCTACTTTCTAGACATTTCTCAAAAAGTAGATCTTAACATATTAAATATTTATAATGGTACAAAGAAGAGAGCAGATAGGGGGATTAATCTAGGGAGAGAGCCTTTCTGTACCGTGCAAATCTGTACTTAACTCATTGCATTACAGAGCAAGTCTCTGGTAACCTAAGGAACGGGGGAATTAACACGATCTGTTTTAAGTTACTGAACACATCTTCCTGCTAGATTATAAGCACGACTCAACTTAATGAATTACTTAAACTTTTACACAGAAATTCCCAAGTCCAAAATAAAAGACAACCCAAGCAAAGAGAGAAAAAGGCAAAAATAACTCCGAAAACCCTCCACAAAGCATGATGCATGAAACTACGCAGCAGAGAATTCAACTTTTCATGTGCTTACCCATCTGGATATGGTTTGGAACGGTTACCCCCGGGTTACCAGGGTACCCACAAGCATGAACCTTCCTCTCAGCTCTGCAGCGAGCAGCGTGCACGTCTGTGAGATCTGTCCTGATAAAGGGAAGGGCTGGGAGAGCCACAGCCCAACAGGTTTGCTGAAGCATCCAAGCAAGGTCAAACTGAGAGGGACATGAACTGTGTCTGGGGGATTCACCTTTAGGAAAGCAGCTCCTCTGTAAGTATTGCATCGCACTGGACATATCAGCTCCCTTTTATTCAAAATTTCACGCTCACGAGCGATGACGAGTGGCCACCCCGTACCACTCTCCTCCAAGGCTGACAGCGCTCGAGTTCTCGTCAGCGCAGCGTCGCCTCTGCAGATACAACTGTCCGGACACAGGCGCAGGGGTTTCCACTTCTGCTACCCAGATTCCACCAACTAGTCAGAGTTTCTAAGCTAACGCACTTCTGCTACCCAGATTCCACCAACTTAGTTGAGCTTAGTTAGAGCTTCTAAGCTAACAACAATCGCACCTACCTCAGTTAGGATGCTCTGATTAATGTTTAGGATACATTTCTTCAAAATAGTCAATGTGTGGAGGCTGGAGTATGTCGAGGGCAGAGAGTACCTAGGAAACACCACACAAGATCAAGACATACCGCAATGAAAGACAAACCTTTTAGAAAGATAATCAGACTGCAGTTTTCTTTTAGAGCTTCATTTTACTCTATCCCACTATACATGAGCACTTTATAGACCACCAAATCAGATGTTCTGTACCTTCAGAGTTTTCTGTTTTTTAATTCAACAAAATTTTCCCAAATCTTCAAGTACTGGCTTAAAAGTATAAATCTATCTACTCAATAAAATTGTTTTACTTCAGATATAAACAGATGTAATCATAAAATATTTGAGAGAAGTAAATCTAACAGAGAAATGCAGAAGCAAAACACTTCATACTTTGTTCTGCCTTCAACAAGGACATTTTGAAGCAAAAACACAAAGTTATTCACATTCTGAATCAGAATCACAGTCACTTAAACTCTCTCTGCAGAGCAAAAAGTTAGAAAAGCATCAGCAGAGAATTCATACTCCTTCACAGGAAAAGAATATGACCTTGATGCAGTCTTTTAGATCCTGTCCTAGGAATATTTATGACACTCGGGAGATGGACACACGTCAGCACTTCTCAGTCTCCACTTCTGACTGTTTACAGAAGCTTTTATTTAATTCTAGTCCTCGCTAACAGTCGTTCCCACAGTGCAGCTCCTGCGAAGCAGCTCAAGACAACAGTTCCAAGGAAATGCGGCCCTGGCATTTGCTTCCCGAGGACCGGGGTGCACGGCAGCCCCTCCGGCCGCTCCTGGGCGCTCCTGCCTTGGGCAGCCACGAGCCGAGGGGCCAGGAGAAGCGCTGGGCTCCTCCCGGGACGCTCATCCCTGCGCTCCAGTGGGAGACGTTGCCACCTCCACAATTGCATTTGGGGAACAGATTCTCCAACTTTTTAATTTGCTTCAGACACAGTTGTCTGAGTCAACTCAGATCATTCTAAACAGTTTAACTCAACTTAGCAGATTTTACCTTGGGATTTGGGAGCGTTTGCACAACTGCTCTGCTGGGAAAATTGAGGCAGCAGCTCCAACAAAGGGGAGCAGGAGGTGCAGTAAAAAGGAGCTTGGAAGCAAGAGCATCTCCAGCTGCCACAGACCAGAATTTATCTAAAGCCTAAAACAAGATTAGTTTGAAGTGCACTGCCTATGTATCTGTAACCATTTTCAAAGTGAAAGTATGAATACTCTTAGATTCTTTAGTCAAATATTTAATTTTTCACACAGTTTGCAACAGTAATGTTCAACCTTCCAGGAAATCTGACACCTGTAAAATTAAAAAGCTTCTAAAGCATCTTAGATATTCTATATCTTAAATGAAAAAAATAATTCTTACACCACAGCTACCACTACTTTACAGTTAAGCTTTACTAAATACTTCAAAATTACTTACATTGTCATGCTTAAAAAAACACAACATCTTCAACTCCCGGAAGACCCTTTTACAAGAGACCAAATTTTGGAAGACGTTGGGCATCTTTTTGAGTGCAACTCTCTTTCCATCTCGTGGATCTGTTACTGACCTACAGAATAAAAGATTCAGAACGTCACATACTACTGTTAGACAACCTTTCTAAATCAGAGAGAATATTTAAGAGTTCTGATCATTCTCAGCTTAGAAGGCGAGTCAAGACATCGTGCAGTCATGGTGCAGCTTTCCCGGCGGGACACGCACCCTTCCTGCCCGCGGACACAGAGCCCGGCCCCGAGCCGCCCCGTAGCCCAAAGCTGCATCGACGGCTTCAGCCACGGAGCCTGGGCGACCGCAGACGTTGTCTTCACACCTTATTGAGAGTAAAGTATTTCTTCAGTTACACAAAGTTGATTTTATTGGATCTACTGCTTTCTTCTTCCTTCGCAAAGGGGCAAAAAGTTTAATAAATCAGTTCTGACAGACACAGGTGAGTACAGTGCTCCTACCTGAGCTATCACTGAACAGCATTCGCTCTGGAGAAACAACCCCACACAGTGCCTAAGTCTGCACAGATGTAAAACAAGTTCTAGCTACCTTCCTCCCAAAGAGTTTATGGGATGCAGCTATTATAGTTGAGGAATTATGAGGTGCTTTGAATATGGCAAGTATTTTAACTTAATTAGATTCTGAAAATAGACTTTTATAATAAGAACCAAAAATCTAGAGCAAGGAGTTGCTGGTGCCTCAATTTCCAGCACGGCTTCTGAGGCGCCGCTTCTCCAGTCTCACCACAGAACAGGGTTTCTGCATCTCTAGGCATGAAAACCTCTCTCTTCTTTTTTCCCCCCAAATAAATTCATTGGAATAACCAAAGAAACTTTCTTCTGAGTGCTATACAGTCACCATGTAAGACTCTACATCCAACTATGGACCCCGATCACTAACTGGTCTTTAAAAAGTTGCTGGCAGTCCCATCTATCGTGGGGCTGCCACGAAGACTACGCTGAAGGCTTCTCCGTTTGTCCCCGGTCCGTGTCGTTCTCAATATCTAAATACAGAATTAGGCAGCCACCTCCCTGGCAGATGTCCGAGCACCCCGTCTGTCACGAAACGATAAAACGCGGCAGCCCCAACGCTCCCGAGTTGTTGCCGATGGCAGCGGCTGGGATCCGAGGAGAACGGCCCCGGCACGGCACTGCCAGCCCATCCCACCGAGTACTCGTGTTAGAGCTGTATGTAACACGGGGGAGCACGCGGGGGCAAGAGCCAGGCCGCGCTGCCAGTGCGAAAAGTAGAACAGCCTCACCTGGACAAGGAAAGCCGAGTTTTGGAAAAGCTGAGGATTCCTGGCAATTAAATAGACATATTCTTTCTACAAATTTACAAAGTTATACTGAGAAAAACAAACAAAGCCACCCCAGCAATTACAGTGCAGATGCGAGGGAGTTTCCATGTTCCTTCTCGTTGCCGTTCTGGCGCTGCTGCGGAGCACGGCGCGCAGAGCTGCACGCTGCTCTCAGCGGGACGTTCGCAGCCACAGCAGGGGGGTCAGGGACGGATCCCGCTGATGATGCCCTCAAGCACCACTCGGGTATCCCGGACGGCCGGGCTTTTCCCAAGGCCGTCCCACCCGGCCCCTCGTTCCCAAGCCGCGGGCGCAGATCCCTCCTCCCGCCCCCCCGCCACGGTGGTGCTGCCGGCCCGGCGCTTCCCGAGCTTGAACTTTGCTTTAACTCATCTCTGCTCCGTTCGAAGGTGCTGCCGGGCAGACAACAAGTCACAGCAACCCCATTAACCTCCTCATGGCAAAACTCTGAATTCACAATTCTCTGACTGACTTTCTCTTAGTCTTTAGTGAAGGCAGCCAGAGCGAAGAGCAAGTGCTGCTACTAGATCTCCTAGCAAGGAAAAGAAAACATAATAGCAGCTGAGCTGGGCAGGGGTAAAACCACCGGGAAAAGTCACCAGCAACTGCTAGTGTAAAGACAGACACGTAAACACGTAGCCACCCGTGACCACAGACACGTCGTCGTCTGCACCGCGCTACTGCCTGCAGCACGAGCACGCGAATGGCCACAGCCCGTTACGGCACCGCGTGCTTTGCTGCCCGTTCTCCTCTTGTTTCGGTCGTGAAGCTTTACGACAGGGACTCCTGCTTAGGCTGCACCCAGAGCAATCAGCCTCTACATGTGAGCACGGTCACAACAGAAGCTACCAGTCCAGTTAATTAGTCATGAAAGAATAACCCATCCCGCCTGTGTTAACAAGCAAACAACACAGCACACATCAGATCAGAAACATCCCTGAAATTTTGGATCCTTTTGATATAATAAAACTTCATCAGCAGACCAGGCACACCACCCAAATCCCATCTGCGGGGGAGAAGAAACTGCAAATGTGCTTGAACAACACACAGTCAACCAAGGATTAGAAAACCACGGAGCAGGGCCTCGCGCGAGCGAAAGACGGTGTCGGCGAAGGCTGCGGAGAGGAGCCCTCCCGCTGCGGACTGCTCCCTGCTGCAGGAGGCG